AACATTTTGCACTTCAAAAGTCTGATGCAAGAAAAGCTTCAGTGACAATTTAGTGGTTTTTTTTCCCTCCTCCCTGCTTGCATTGCCTGCTGCTGATTGTCTCAACCTTGTCTGACTGAACAACGTGTGGTTGTCTGGCTGTGTGCATGTGTAATACTTTTTGTGTACTGCATTAAGTAGTACAGTAGCTCGTGATTGAGTGGCACATGGCACACAGAGGGGATTTATTGGCACCAATCTGCTACTGTGATTCAAATAATGGGTATTTGGTTCACGTTTTGAACACTGAAAAAATGACTTGGTCCTGGTTTGCTTCTGGCTTATAACTGCTGTTGGAAACCATGATCTTATCTGGAGTCCAAATTTAACTTTTTTGTGTTACAGGCACAGGCTCAGCTTGTGCTGGATTGATATTCCCTCCTCCTTGTTTGAAGTGTAATTTCTCTTTCTTTGCTCTGAATGGATGTTCATTATTTCCCTTTTCAAAAGAAACAGTCCATTATTAATAGTTCTGTGCTGCTTGTTATTTTTCTCCTGTACAAAGTGAGACATGCAGGACAGAGGAGTACTCTTAATGTTTGTGAGTATTGAGTGGTAAATAATCATAGATTTTGTTTTATTTGTATTGGGTGGGGATTTTTTTGAACTTACAGTTTTGACAAGCATCTGGCATATCATCTTACTGGATGCCCTTCAGATATAAAAAAATGCATTTATTAGAATATCTGTTAAAAATGTATTTGGGGGTTCTTTTGCCATTTTCTTCTACCTTGGAAAGCATTCTTGCCTGCCAGTAGCTGCTGCCTGTCTTGTTTTGGTAGTATTTTCAGCACGAGTCATGCCCCTGGCTCTAATTTTCTGCTATTCTTACATCTGTGAATGGCAGGCAGTGCTACATCAGTATGTGCAGAGTGCCAACTCTTAAAAAACTTCAGCTTTGAGGCTTCCAGGGGTGGGAGCTAAGCGTGACCTGTACTTTGTGTCACTGGGAGATGATCCTGTAAAACTGACAACCCTGTGCATTTTGTAAGATCCTTGGCATTAGTTCTGGTTTTGCATCTCAGTTCACCCTCCCTAGAACCACATGCAGAGTTCCACAGTACAATATGCTTTATAACCTCACTGGAACATTTGCACTGTTTCAGGCACCTGTATGTGTGTGAAGAGCTGTCAGTTCTATATGTATGAAAAAGGGAAACCCATCTCCTGTTCAGCAGAAGCTCTTACAACTGATTAATATTGCAGAACTTATTTGCCTTAAGAACACAGAATTCAGAAGACTAATGTGCTGCCTCTGGCATCTATTCTGTGTTAACCTCGAGAGTAAGAATTCTCAAGGAGAAGTCTGCATTACTTGAATACTTTCAAGGTTGTCTTGTCTTTAAGAGAAAATTTCTTAAAAGTCAGTTTCTTAAATTGCTGCTGCTTAAATATCAGTGTCACTTCTTCAGGGAAGCTTGTTATTACAAGCGTTTGAGTTGGCTTAAAAAAAACTCCACCAAACCAAACAAACCCATTTGCTTTTGTTGTCAAGCCCTTCTGAAAAGTTTTTGTCCCCTGGCATTCATTTGATCTTTGATACTTCTGGCTTCACTTCTGCTGCACGGGAAGCTAAAGCAAGTGGACATGGTGCTTGCTGACTGCTCAGTACTGGTGCAGTGTCTTTGTGAAATCCGACGTCGTTTTGTGTTGCAAGGGGAAATGTGGAGGTTGCTTTAAGAGATGGTCACAAGGGAGGAAGTATTTGCCCTGTCTGTGTGAGTTTGGTGGTCAAGAAATTGGTGTGACAGGATGCTGGACCGGATGGTAGGGATGCTGGGGAGCAGTGTCTACTGTCTAATGAAGTATCAGTGGGAAGGCTTGGAATCACAGGTCAAAGTGCTTTCATTTAGAAGTGGAAGATAGTGCAAGGGATAGTGCACTGAAGTGCACTAAAACTAACCTACCATAGGTATTTGAGGTTTTCAGTCACAGTTTAGGCTCTTTTATAAGAGAAATATTAAATGAAGACGTCTTTGTTTCTTGGAACAGGCATTTTTTGGTGGCATTACTTGATTTCTTACATAAAATGTGGCTTTCTTCTATATTGTCTTGGTAAGAAGCTAGCTAAGCAGGCTATAAAGTGCCTTGTCACAAAACACTTTGGGGTGTGCTGGCTTTTAATTTAGTGAGGGATTAAGGAAAATTGGGGAAGAAAAGCCCATTTTTGACTGTTAGCTGCAAAGGATGCAGTCTTGGACTTGGGAAGCCTCTGAGCCGAGCAGGAATTGTCTTTAACTGTTAGCCCTGCTGGACTCCGTTCTGTGCATCAGCTGTCGCTCTCTGCTGAAGGAAGCACACGGGGGCTGTGTGGACCTCCTGGTCACGGCAGCACAGCTGTGTGCATGGTTTGTCCTTTCTCCTGAGGGAAGCTCTGAACTTGCTCTCTGTCGTGGTGCTCCCGAGCTGCGTGTGGGTGATGATCCCGTGTGCCCGCGGGACTCCGCTCCCCGCGCCGGCCAGGGGCTGGGCTGGCTTCCCCAGGGAGCACAGGGCCTGGGGAAAACGCAGCACGCAGGTGGGGCACAGGCAGAGGCTGCATGGACCAAGGCAGCGAGTAGGCTGTGCTCTTGCCTTGAACTGCAGAGAAAACGGGAGTCCTGCAGCAGAGGCTGCCGTGGTCTGTGCCCCGTTGTTTTGCATGGAGCTGGCAGAAGGGCGTCCGTCCGGGATCCTCCTGTGGGGCTTGCAGGTCCCTGCAGCATCTCCCCCGGGTGTGCTGAGCCTGACACTGCTCTCACAGAGACTGAGGAGCAACTCCCAGGCAGGAAACTCAGGAATATTTATATATTAGTATCCTTTAAGCAGGGATAGAATACTGTTTGAGACTCTAACGGATTTGGAACTATTAATAGAGAACATCCTATGTTAATAGGACTTCTGGCAGCTGGAATGGAGCATGCTGCTGTCAGAACTGTAGTAGTTAAGCTGCCCTGCAAGATTAAGAAGAATTATGCATCAGCTGAAACTGATACTTAAATATATGCTCTACTTTCGTGCTGGGTATTTGACAGAGTGTGTTATTGCCTTGAATTATCTTGTGCACCAGGGTATGGCACACAGAAACTTACACCCTTTCTTCCCAATCTTAAGTATGCACGAAGATAATTTGTGGAACAGTTGTGAGTAATTCAAGAAAAAAGAGTGAGCATCCAGAAAATATTCAGTGGTTCTTTGCCATTACAGGCTTTGTGAAACATTGTATCTTTAATGATTAAAAACCCATCTTTGGTACTAAATTGTCTCTTTGCTCATTGCAAACCCTGAGTCACATTCCAGGTAAGAATTTGCTACCCAGAAATGTATAGGAGGAAAGAGTTAGTTATTAACCTGACTTTTGGGCTGTAACAGTTTTGTAACTTTTTTCAGATAAGGATCTGTATGATGTTGTGGTCCTATTTGTGGACAGATATGTCCTCTCCTAACTGTAACAGTATGAACTTAAAACCATTTAACAATTTGGCATCTTGAGCTTTTTGAGATTGTCAGGAAATTGGGCAAATGAGTGCTTCTGTTACTTGGGAAAGTTAAAAAATTGAAATTATCAAACCCCTTATTTTGGTATTCCTACATGTGGCCGTGGTGGCTACTTGTGACTGCTGAAGGATTTGGTATATCTGTCATCTGAAAATGTATTGCTGAAAAGAGCTTCCTTGGGTTCCTGTATAGGTGTAGCTGAATGGCATACGAGCACTACTTCAAAAAAAAAAAATTAAAAAAAATTAAAAGAGCCAGCTGAGTGAAGTTTCTGAGGAGCCATATCAGAGCTCACTGTGGGAGAGATGGAGTCTGTTCTCTTGCCTGGAAACTGAAGTGATGTAGTGCTTGCCTGGTGCAGGTAGTGCTGATGTGACAGGTCTTTTGGCCTCTGAAAACTCAAAGCTGAGATTTTCATTCTGTTAATATTCTTTAAAGTTTTGTTAGCTAGAACTTTGTCTTGTAAGGAAAGGAAGGATCAGCACAGCAGAGTTTTAACAGTAGTAGAACAACTCTTGACTTACAAAATCTACTTTCTAGCTTTTGACATGGCAAAACATTGTCACACTTCCCAGAATGGTATTCAATCCATAGCTGGTCCTGCTGGCTTTGCTGCATATAGCCCCTCTGTGGGCTGTGCTTGAGCCACTATCTGTTTTGAATAATTGATGCATTCTGTTTTGACAGAAAATTATTTTTAATGCCCAAATTTTTTTTTTTTTAAAGTTACTTTGTTTTCTCTATGTTTAAAATGATATATAAGTGTGTGTGAGGTGGTCTGTAGTTATACAGTTTACACAATATTTGGCATGCTGGGCAATTGTGAAAATTTTAAGAATGGATCAGTTTGGAATATTATTATGCAATTAGGTCAGTAAACTGAGAAGCCTGAAAGACAATTCTGTCTTTGTTTCCTTCAGGAATTATATTTTATTGCCCAAAAATTCAAAGACAGTAAACTTTGATGCATTTTGATTGGCCTTGATGCATTTTTGAGCAGGAAGGGGAAAAAAAAGGCTCCTTCATTTATTAATATGTATTAAGGCATTTAATTTGTGTGTTTTCTATTTCTGCAAGCTTCAAACTCTATATCAATTCTACATTTTGATTCTAAACTAGTCATATTTTTCTGCTGTGTGATGTTTGCTGACATGGTTGGATTTTTTCCCCATATTTTTGTCTATAGGAAGGTTGTGGACCTTTTATCTTGGACTAAATTAAAAAAGTAGAAAACCTGAAAAATTCTTGAAATGCATTCGAATCATGTCTTTTGCCATTTGAGTGCATCTTTTATGTCTTTAAAACCATCAGAGGCTTCAAAATCTTTCAGGTCGTCTGGTGCATATGATATGGAGAACTTTTGTTGCTGGGAGTGCAGAAGGGGAGGGAAGTGAAGCTCATTTTATTTGACTACATTATTCCTACAGTATGTAGTGAGTACTGGTAGATTTGCTTGAAAAATAACTTTCATTTTTACATTTTAGTCTCCAACAAAAGCTGTGTATAATGCTAGACACTGGAACCAGCCAGAATCAGAGGCTCTGCCAGCACCACCGGTTTTGAAAACTCCCAGTGTTCCAGTAAGTAGACTGTTTTTTCTCAAGTTAAGTAAATCTCCTTTTAAGAGTCACTGATATTTTTTGAAACACAAGTTCTTGATATCTGGTAATGTAACAGAAATTCAGAATGAAGTCCACTTTGTGATGCAAGCCATTGGGTATTTGATAGGAAAGAAATTGTTCATGGAAATACTCTAGAATGGAATCTTCCATGTCATTTTGATATACAGATATTAAAAAATACTTCAGTCGAGCTGTGTTCTCTAATCTGCTGAAGTGAAGCTTTCTAACCATGGACTCCATTTCATCTCCTGTGAGAATCCCTTGGATTAACTTGTTAATACCTGTAGAAATCAGCAAGTTGCATGTCAAAAAAGAAACTTAAGAAAATGAGATATTTCATGTATTTTTCCATTCTGATGGAGTACGGTACTGTGAATGGCTGACTTGAGTTTTTAGACACTATGGAAGAACCAAAATTTTCTATATGCAGCCAGAAATGCTAATATGATCATATAAGATATGTCTACAAAAAAGTAGACAAGAGTGAAAACGGTTCTTAAAGTAACTTGTTTGTTCAAAAATCAGTGATTGTTTTGAGGCTTAAGGTAATCATTTTTTAACTCTTGAGGCCATGGGAATCCAAGGTCTTGGGCTTAAATATATGTGCAAAAGTTATATACTGATTATGCTAAGAGAGCATTGTACGTTGTCAGTAAACTTAATTTCATTTGATGCCCTGCTTTATAGTACTTGCCTGAGAACAAAACATCAGAAGTAGGTATTTTTGCAGTGATAAGTCTTCAGTTTTTGTTGTCACCAGTTTTGGTTTGGGGTGTGGTGGGGTTTTTTTGGTTTTGTTTTTTTTTTCTGCCTGTATGTGTTGTTCTGATACAGTCTCCTTTTTGACTTGTGGTTGGCTTTGGCTGCATCCTGACAGCATTCTGAACAGCCTTCCTTCCATGTTAACTGTGCTGCCTGGAGGATGCAGCTGACTCGTGTTACAATAACCATTGTCACCACTCTGAGGAGAGCAGAAATTTTCAGTCCTGGGTTTCTCCTGACCCCCTTTCTTACTTTCAGTCACGTGTGTTAGAACTGAAGCTTTTGTCACTTATTGCATCTTTACATTGATACTGATTTTGTGACATACTCTGATAGTGGAATAAAGGCAGGTACTGTATCTTCTCAGGCAGACTTGGAGTATTTCTTCTTCAGGTTAGGAGGATGTCTGGATCATTCCTATTCAGACAAGCCATTTTGTCTTCTGTAAAACTTCCATTTTGTAACTGGTGCCATCAGCATATCAATTCAGGAATATGGTAGATGTTTGGCTGAACAAACCAGTTAGGGAAATTTGTGTGTATCTGCTCCTCGTGTTATGTACACGTGAAGCTGCTTCAGCCACTTGTTTAATCTTGATTTATATGTGTATGATTAAGATGTAAGAGCTAGAAGATAAACGAGCCTTGATCCAAATGTTCAGCAGTAATCCCTGTGCAGATGATCCCGCCTCTTTAATTTCTGTAGAAATTTGTTACCTGAAGATCTGGATAAATTTGTCTTAGATTCACGGTAAGAAACCCATAGCATGCAAACTGCTTATGCCAAATACTGTTTCTCATGGCCTCTCCAACCTCCTTTGGAATTGGCTTCGAAGGGGAAGCCATTAACCAAGACTTGGATCAGATAGTTCAGTGAATCTCCTGAGTTCACAGGCTGATAAGATCAGAGTCCTACAGTACGTTCTCTAAACCACCTTTCCAGGGTGCTTTATTAGGATTTGCCACTGGGGCCTGTAAGCAAATACTGAAAAGCTGCACCCTGATAAAGGCAGCTTGTAAAGAACACTGTTAGCAGGTTGTTTTGGCTTGTATTTTGACTGTCAATGTACAATGCACAGGAAGGCTTTCTCTCAAAACAGCCCTGAGAGTGACAGTACCACGCCCTCTGTCCCCCTGCATAGGCATTGTGGATTTTTTCAGTCACATGTAACAATTCTCATTTTTCCTATGTAAGGAAACTTAAGTACATGATGTTATTTAGAGACTGAGGATGACTTCAGGACCATCGTCACTGGGACTTGTACACTCAGGATTTGGCATTTGGAGGCCTTTTTCCTGTATGCCTTGTTTTCTGTAGTTTGTCTTCCCATCCGAATTTGTGCCAAAGGTGTAATCTGAAAATTAACTGACACCTTAAACTTACAGTAGCCTCAAACTAACACAGAGGAGTGGTAGGTTGAGGAGAAACCTGTAATATTTACCTGAGATGGCTGGGAACTTATCCATAGTTACTCTAGACCTAACATTAAGTTCTCTACTACCTGTTATAAGTTCAGAAAAGATTTTGCTTTTGTATTTCATGCTATCATATGTTGTTCCTAAAATATTAACAAGACAAATATGAATAAAGCTGGTGTACAGAGAACACCATGAGCTCACAAGAGCATACTTCACCTGTTGGAGGCATGCACCATTCCTCTCTTATTTCTCTCTGTGGCAATTTTTTATGGTGCTACAAAATTTATATTGGTCGTATTCTACCTACAGGCAAAATGTGGCAGTGCAATAACCTCCAGTAGCTGGAGGTGAGAACAGAGGGCACAGAGTGTTTCAGTTCAGGCTGTGTTGAGACAGTGACTGCTCAATGCTGTGCTCATATCCAGACCAGTGTACTTGATAATGGTTCAGTACAGCAGCCAACTTAGTTCTGGAAGCCCCAGTGTAATGGGATGAGATACTTGTGAGCATCAACAGATATTTGTTCTGAAACACTGAACTTGGTCGGTTTACTTACCCTAAAGCTTTAGGAACTTTGGGTTTTTTCTTGGTGTTTTTTTTGTTTGTTTTTTTAGTTTCAAAAATCCACTGGAGCTTTCCTGACTACCTAGAACTGTTTTGGGTTTTTTAATGTAAAAATGCATATCAATTCTGACATCTTAATTTATTTTTTTTATTATTATTTAAGAGTAGGTACATTATCACATAGCTTAGGTACACCTTGGTAGTGTCAGGCAAGGACCAAGTAGCCCCAAAATGTGAGTTTGACAATTGCACATCTGTACTGTTTCCTGATGTATTTAGTGTATGTTTACATGCTCAAAACATCTGCCCATTTTAGCACTTTCTTATTAATAGGTAAGGCTATCTTCAAAGGAGGCAATTCATAAAGATGATGGAGTTTTTAAGGCTCCTGCACCACCTCCCAAAGTGATAAAAACTGTGACAATACCTACTCAGCCCTATCAAGAGATAGTAACTGCATTGAAATGTAGGAAAGAAGACAAAGAAGTAAGTATTCTTAACAAATTTTTAAGATAAAGAATTATTGGTAATCCTAAGTACTGAAGGAACAGTGTCAAAATGAAATTTAGCTTTCCTATTAAAGATATAATATTTTTATCTAAATAGTTGAATGGCCTTCATTAACTTCTTAATGTTTCCTTGCACTCAAAACTGAATAGATTTTAAACTGTACTTGTTAAGGTTATAACCAATCCCAAGAGCAATTTACTGAGGTCAAAATATTTGTCTCTTGCAGTTGTACACTGTTGTTCAGCATGTAAAGCACTTCAATGATGTAGTGGAATTTGGTGAAAATCAAGAGTTCACAGATGATATTGAGTACTTGCTAAGTGGATTGAAGAGCAATCAGCCCCTAAACACACGTTGCCTTAGGTAAGATATCTTAATATCAAACACTGAACTTGCATTTCAGAGTTACTGAATTAAATATCAGTTAATTGACCATGCTTTAAAAAGTTGTTTGGGTAGTTACCCAGCATTTCTGCTGTAAGGATTAAAAAGTGAAAATAATCATCAAGATTATCTATAATATGCATATATATTTATAATAGCTGCAATTATAGCTATCATCTAGAACATAGCTAGCATCCACTGCAAGTATTGTGGCCTCTATTAATTGGAAGCTTCCCTAAGTTGTCTTCAACTCCTAACTGCACTCTTGGTTATTAAGTTATTAGTATGGAAAACGTTAGTCTTGCTTTGAAAAAACTTCTAACCTAATACCAGTGTCTGTTTCCTGCATATAAAAATAATTAGGATGGGGTTTTATGACCATGTAATAATTTTAAAATTTATTTTTATATGCTTGTATTTTTTCCTCTCTGTTCAGCAGAACTAAAATGGTAGAGAAGGAAAAACTTGACTCCATGGAGTCAGGTGATGAGGACACTTCACTCACAGTGGATGAGAAAAAGCTTTATATGCTTTTAAGAGAATTATTTAAAAAAAAATAGTATTAATGTTTTTAAAAAAACTAGCAATGAATATTGTTGCTGAAGTATAAACACAAGAAATCTATTATACAATTAGTATGTACATTATGATAAGAATAAATACCATAATGACAGTTCAGGACTTGTTGATGTGGAGTGCACATAGTTTGCTCATATGGCAAGCTTCCTAAAATTTTAACCTGATTTTTTTTTTTACTTTCCAAATTTGTATCATGGGATGTAACTTGTATAAACATCATAAAAATTTTTTTCTTTCAGTTAACAAATTAAAAGAAAAGTATTTTTCGAAAGGAAATCAGTGTGTAAGGATAGGAATAGACATAAAAGAATCAGACACTGCTAGGTAAGCTCTGACTAGTGCTGTGTGATTGGAAACAGGAAGACCACCTGTTCTTTAAACACCTTACCATGTGAATCTTTTATAAAAAGACTCCTCTAGTCAAGGAAGTCTTGATTGTAAAATCACTCCCACATCACTCCATATTTAAAAGCAATATATTTTTATTTTTATATATTTTAAAAAAAATTATATGCTGCGTAGTGCTATAAATGGCAGACAGCCTGCCAAGAAAACCAGAGGAAGGCTTCAGTTTTAAAATAGAACTGTTATGCTGATCACTGATTAGACTAATATATTTGTCAGGTTTTTCCTGAATCTGTAGTGTTTCCATCAACCATAAATGCAGCAATAAATATAAGAATGTTTGGTTTTCTTTGTGGAAGCACTGTCAGGCATATCAGTCAGTTAGATAGGGGAAGTGTTAGGTAATGATGGAAGCTCACATTAACAATTTCTGATTCTGCCTTGATTCATAATAACCTCTCCCATGCCTCTGAAACAAGAGCTTCCTACTTAATCCGTGAACATTTTATGTTCAGTTTAGCTATTTCTAATTATTTCAACTTTTGTTTTAAATAGTCAAGTTCAGGGTACCCTTTCAAATCCTGTTTTTAGCCTTAAAATAAAGCATACATACTTCAGTGCTGGTAGGCAACTGTGGGATTAAATGCTGCTCTATTCAGCAATTGCAATCTTGCCTTACTCAGATTTTTAGAAGAAACATCCTGACCGAGTTTGTCAGGGTCTGAGGTGTATGGTCAGCTGCATTTGTACACTTATTTATCTGCCATTTTTGTAAATGTATTCATTCTAACCCAAAATTAATTGCCTGCAGTGTAATCAGCTTGGCGACAAAGTGCGCCATGCCCAGCTTCCGAATGCACCTGCGAGCACACGGGATGGTAGCCATGGTTTTCAAAACACTGGATGATTCCCAACACCACCAGGTATGCTTGCCTTGTGTACTGCATTACATTTTGATGATACCTCTCTACTGTGTATGAATTTTGTGCAAACATTATTAGAGGTCAAGCGTCCAGTAGAGTGTGTGTCTGGGATCGGGGGCTCCGTGTGAGAAATCTGCAGAGAAAGGGAAATAAGAGCACCTGTGTTCAGTGACAAATTCCCCTTCCACTCTTCATGTGCTTTTGGGTTTGGGAATTCCTTTAAGAAATCGTTTGAGCATGTTAGAGAAAAACTGACTGTGCTGTGGATTGCTATATTATATCTTTTCTTAAGCTTTTAAAAGTAGTTTTATTGTTGTATTTATAACTTCCTTCAAGTAAAATAGGTTTGAAAGGAATACTTTCCTCATATTTAAAGATGGGTTTAAGCGCTCATCTCCCAATGTGCTTGCATGTGAATTAGTGCCTTTTCTGTAGCTGTTGTGGGGCATTTCCATGTCCTGTGTTTGTCTCCTTGAGTGGTGCTCTAATTGCAGTTTTAGGGTGCCTTAAGAGTGTGCAGTGTTCTATGATAAATCTAGGGAAGGTAAACTTCAACTACTTATGGTAAAGTGACCTGGGAGTTAAAAACTGCAGCAGTTTGGATTTTCTTTTTTTATCAACTTTACAAGTTCAATTCAGCTGTCATAGAAAATGCTTCTTGCAGGTGATACTGTTTTTCCAGCCATTGGCAACTGCCTCTGCTATGATAACTCTAGGGAAGGTAAACTTTTACTTATGGTAAAGTGACCTGGGAGTTAAAAACTGCAGCAGTTTGGATTTTCTTTTTTTATCAACTTTACAAGTTCAATTCAGCTGTCATAGAAAATGCTTCTTGCAGGTGATAACTGTTTTTCCAGCCATTGGCAACTGCCTCTGTGGGGTATTCCTTGAGGGTTTGTTACAGGAGCTGAACCTAGGAAATGTTCAAGTATTGTCATGCTCTTTGGGAGAGTTGCCACCACTGAGTTGCAGATCTGAAGAGGACAGCTACAGTTCCTTGAAAAATGCATAAGCTTGCTCATTGTGTTTTTGGCTGTCTAACAGTTACCATTGTCCCTTCATTTTCAAAAGAACTTGCACATACAGTTGAAAAGAAATTGAAAAAGAAACTGTGATTAGTTGGCAGTAAAAGAAAGCATTGGTTATATTCACTATTTTCAGTATATTTGATGAAATGCTTCCTTTTGTCAGGAGAAAAAAACCTGGTGGTTAATATTTTAATATAGTTACACTGCATTCTTGCTGCAGGTTATACAATATTGTAACATGACTGATTTTTCAAGTCACAATTAAGCAATACCAAAATATGCTGTGAGTACTGACAGTAGGTGATTCAGCAATGACCTTCCTTATGTAAGCTTACTGAGAGTGGGGGACGTGGAGACCTTTACAGTTCCTGAAGAATATAAAGTAGCAATTGCAGAGACTTTTTTTTAACCAGCAAGGAAAACAAAATAACTAGTTATCTTACTGAGCTATGCCCCAAAATATTTACATGAAGATTGCTTGCTCCACTGACTTTTTGCTGTAGATTTGTCTGTAAGCTACAGCTTCAATTTTTAACTGACTTTCTCTTCAGTTGTGCTCCTAAGGTTTTGGAGTGTTACTGATTTCTTTTTTTTTTTTAATAAAAGCTATATTTTCACTCTAGCTGTCAGTAGTTAAGCACAGCAATGTGGTTCTGTAATGTCTTCAGCATGTGAATAATTAAAAAAAAGTGCATTAAATGTAGTGCTGAACCCTAGAAAATAACCATCTGTTACCACAAGTTGGAGTATAAATAGCAGCAGCGAGGGAAGAAGGATGAGAGTGGGTGTGAATGGTCTGCTCTTTCTGACTTGTACCTTCAGCTAGGATGTTTTCCTGAATTCTGTAAAACCATGGAGTGCAACTCCATACTTAGATGTGCCATAAAATTTCTGTCTAGAATAAATTCTCTTTATTTTACTTTTTTTCTCCTCTCCACATTTGTTTGCAAGCAGAATGTATTTTAAACATATTGAGGAATAGAAAGAGGAGGGGATCTTTGGGGGGGGGGAAACTATCAAACACAAAACCACCAAACAACTCAAAAAACCCCAAACTGAACAAAAAAGAAAAAAACATCAAACAACAACAACAAAAAACCCCACCCCCAAAACCAACAGCTTCACTATCTCCATAGGGGTGGGATTTTGGAGGTTTGATTGGGTTCTTTGGTTTGGTTTTTAGGATATTGAAAAATGAGTTGAACTAACAGTTTCATCTTGGAATTCAGTGTATGGTGAGCCATGGAATAGCTATCAGACAATATGATTAACATTTTAACACTTAGACAAGATCAGAACAAAATGTAGTGTTGCTATAGTCTAGATTAAACCAACTTGCTTATAAGGACTAAGAAAAATGAGTGTTGGAAAACTCATATCCCTGGCCTGTAACTGAAACAGGTTTGTTCCACATTTATAAGAACAGTTCACATTTGAGGTCCTTCTGCAATGTCCCTGTTCTCCTGTTGCATGTCAGCATTTGGGGATACATTGGCCTGGTTGCTTTCTGTATATATGCTGTTGTGGGAACCTAGCTGTTGTTAAACAGCTACTCCACTCCTTTTTGCTTTCCTGGCAGTTGTCCTGCAGCCTGAAACCTGCTGTATAACATCTTGGTCTCCTGCTTGGGCCCCTTCTGATCACATTTAAGTATCTTAAAACCTGGGTGGAAGGTTTGAAAGGAAGTGTTGACAGAGTTTATGTGGAGGGAGAACCTTTACTCTGTGCATCATGGGGTGGCTGGTGCCTTGGACAGACAAGGGCTTGGTACAGAGGCTTACAAAATCAGTGATAGCCCTTATCACACCTTGGAGTGTCTGAAGAGCATTTCTGAGTAATGATCTAACAACAGTCTCTGACTTCTTGAAATACCTCAATATTGGTAGCCCAGATGATAAATTCAGCAGTTTCCCCTCCTGTTGACTGTTGCAGTTTCTAGTTGATAGAAGTTCCTTTGGGAGCTTAACCATTTTTTTTTCTAACCAGGAAGTTGACCTAGGTGGTGATGCTGGTAACTAGAAAATGGTTCTTCCCAGGTGGTGTTTTACTTGGCCCTAACTGGCTGAGCAGCAGCTGGTGGAGTAACCTCTGGTTCCTCTGGAGTGCCTGTGCTCCTGTGTCCTGTTTTAATAACTGCCATTCTGAAGGAACAGGCTTCTTCCAGGAACTTGAAGTTTCTTACAGTTTAATCCACTTGCAAGTAAATCCAGAGTTAACCCTTTCTATAATTAAAATTATAAAATTGCAAGGTTTATTGGAGAAAGTTAATAGAAATTGAAGGAAAGACAAAGTATCCTCTATCTACAAGCAGTGCAGGAATAATCCTGTGTCTGGAGGTTGTGTTTGTGAAAAGAAATCTAGATTCTTAAACTCTGGCTTCCTTCCCTCAGTATTTCAAGTGCATCTTTGGTAGTTAGATGAAAGGCTTTATTCACCTGAGGGTTTCCTTGACTCGGGCAGGAAGGAGTTTTTAGATAGCTTTTGATAGACTGTCAGCTGCCTAGTCCTGTTTTGGAAATGCTGATACTGCTTAGTATAGCCAGGTATGATGAATACTTGCTTCTAAAATAAACAGAAGCAGCTAATGATTGCTTTGGTGGTTGGCTGAACTCTAAACAAGATGTTAATCTGCTATGACATAGAATTTCTGCTCTTTCCTGTTGAGCTGTACAACAGTCACATGCCAGATTAGATTGTCTCCATTTTTAAATTATAGAGGAAAAAAGGAATAGATGCATGCAGTATGCTGACTCTTGAGAGCTGCACTTGCTAAGACACACATGTAGCCCATGCCCCCTCCAGCTCTTCTTTCCTCCAGATTTCAGCAAAGGTTTCTGAAAGTATTGTGCCCAGCACAGCTCTGTTTTCCTGTGAACTTTTCTCCTCTTCACCACAACTTGGAACTCACCTGGATAGGTGAGGCTCTTGGTGCAAGTGCTGTGCCCAGCAGCACAAGGAACAGACAGCTTTGCTCTCATCTCTTCCCTGTCATGTTTCTCTTCCTGACAGTCACCTCTGGCCTTTGCTTTTCTGGATCCTCATGAAGATGAAATTTAATTCCTTCTTGAAGAAGGATTAAGTACTTTTTAGCCAGTAAGAGGTGCCTGTATGCCAAGTCTGTGTAGGATAGGGATGGTCTTAATAACGTTTCCTTGTGAATTATTGATGGGGATTGGGCAGGGAGGAAGCTGGTTTGTACTCTGACCACTTCCAAAGTGCAGAATTCCCCTGGCAATGGAAGGCATTTATGCTGGAAGGTTTGAGTAAGCTATTGACTGACAGACCAGATTGGCAGAATCTGAATGTATGTCACCAGGTGCTCCCCCACACACACATGGAAATGCTGTCCCCATGATCTCTGTACTTTCTGGTGCTCTCACCAGCTTATCCTATTGAGCCAGAATGTTCACCTGCCTTGCCATGCACCCCCTGCTTTTTCATGGAATCATAGAACCTCTGGGCTGGAAGGGGACCTCCAAAGGTCATCTA